GGGTCTCACTCTGTTGCCCAGGTGGGAGTACAGTGGTGCGATCTTGATTCACTGCGGCCTCATCCAGGCTCTATCGATCCCCCTGTCTCAGCTTTCCAAGTAGCTGGGATTATAGGTACATGCTACCATGCCTGGCTACTTTTCTGTACTTTTGGTAGAGACATGGTTTTGCCATGTCATCCAGACTGATCTTGAACTCCTGAGCTCAAATGATCTGCCTGCCTTGGCCTCCTAAAATGCTGGGATTACAGGCATGAGCCACCAAGTCTGGCTATAGCCAAGTTTTTAAAATTGACAATGAAGTCTGTTTATTTTTTTAAGGCTTAGAAATGGAACCTGTGAAATGTCAGATGATGGGAAGATCAGAAGTTTAATAGTTTTTAACTTCCTTATCTTTATATTGACTTTGTAGCATAGAGGATAGATGCTTTAACAAAAGAGCTAAGGAGTACAAGAGGAGATCAATTCAAAGTTCTGACACTAGGGAGATCCAGCCCTCAGTTGACTAGCTTGTGCATTTTCCTGGGAGTTTGGCACCTCTCATGGTTTTCAGCCTTCCTGCTTCCCCTAGCCATGCCTATTTAGAGGGTGGACAAGGAACATGTATGACTCAAGCCACTCCATGTGCCCACTTTTGGCATTCCTGGTGAAAGTTTAGAGAAAGAAGTTATTGGTTAAAATAAATGACTAATGGTCTGGGAATCCTGTTTATTCATATCTTCTCTGCCTGCCACGATGACAAATAATTGATCCCTAACTCTCTGGCACATTGAGGAGTCCCCAGAGAGAGCAGATATAGCAATGAAATGAAGGGGAAAATGCTTATTATAGAATTGGCATATATTATATTCCTATAATGTATATGTAAGATATCTTTAAAATGGTTATCTGTTTCTATTTAGCCGCGTTTCCTTGGTTATCTTAGAAAGCTCTCAGTAAAAACAAGTCTAATGATGTTATTTTGTGTTTTATTTTCCAGTTTGTATTTTTGGCATTCTGGATCCTTTTTCTCTACAATCGAGATCTTGTTTACCCCAAGGCCCTAGATACTGTTTTCCCAGTGTGGCTGAATCATGCAATGGTGAGTGAGGGGAAAATTCAGTGAACACAGAACACCAATAGCCTCTGTACTGAAAACTCCAAAGTGCCTTATTTATGTTTCCAAGTGTCTCAGTCCACAGCATCCAATCAATCCTCTCTCCTCACCCCATCACTGTTTATTTAAAGGGCATATTGAAGGTATGAAAGGAACACAGGCCAGTGCTATAATTGCAATGAGTCTACTGAGAACACACGAGACGTCCAGGCAAGAGTGTGCCACGTTGCTTAGGAAGTCATTGAAAAGACACAGGGATCTGAGAGGGCAGGCCTGAAAGAGAAGCAACTTCTGCAAATATGTCAGAAGCTTCTGATCTGTGGATGGAATCAAGCCAGCTTTATGAAAAAGCCCACTCCAACATCCAGAGAATATCTCATAGCTGAGTAGCAGCTATGTAAGTAACATACTTCGTCAGGACTCTACATCACAAATGGGATTCGCATTTACATATTTCTAGGAATATATTTCCATTTGGCTTTTTATTCTGGTTTGTGTTTTGGAGAGGCTAAATAGTCAACAGAGCCTGTTCTGAGATTTTTAGGTCGCTGGAATCTGAATACCAGTAACAGGGACCCAGACAAGCAGGGCTGACGTGAGGTTGTCCGGGTCTCGGTTGGAAGAGGATAACTGAGTCATTGGTGCGATGTGCACAAAGTAATTGTTCAAAGACCAAGCTCCACCTCTCCGTACTTACAAATGTATTTCCACATCAGTCAGGAGATTATAAAAAGTCTCAGATTCTGTGAAGCTAATGACATTAAAAACCAAGGGGATAGCTAGGGGTGGTGGCATGCACCTGTAATCCCAGCTACTTGGGAGGCTAAGGCAGGAGAATCA